CGGTGTGATAGACAAGCGCCTTTCAGCTAATACCATGAGTTCATCCGGTGAAGACATTGCTGTATGTAGCATATTGGTGACTACAGCAAAGAAAAAAGAGCTAATAATATGAAAAAGGTGTGGCTGCGCCCGTTTAATGTGAGGACCATAAAGCACAGTTCGGGAATTATTGAGTATGGTGTTATTGAATGCGCCCACCCATCGTAGATTTATACCAGGTGAAGTAATATTAGAGTGAGAAGAAAGATTTTGACACTGCCTTATTTGAAAATTGCCTTTAAAATTTGACTATAAGGCAGCCGAATGTCAGAAAATAAAGCGAGAAAGTTGTTTTATTGCTTCGCCAGTTTATTGCGCCATGGTTCCATGCAAGTATTTTAAGGTTTTCCAGCTTAAAAAGCATGCAGATAAAATTCATACAAAAGCGCTATGTCCAATTTGCCGAGCAGTTATTTAAGACGATGCTTTCCCTATATTTTGTTAGACCTTTCATAAGTAAAAATATTTTGTGAATATTACTCTCTTCATATGAGTTATATCACATTTTTTGTTTAATTGTATTTTTGGAATAAACAAAGTTTCTGCTGTCATTAAACTGTTTTTGTTACAAATAGTACAACTAAGCAATGGGAAATAAGGCAAAATTTGTTTTATTTCCAACATTTGTTAAAAATAAAGCAAAACTCAGATTTTGGTATTATTTCCCATTTCAAAGTTTTGCATTATTGCCGTTTGTGTTACGTGAAAACAAAGGCAAATAAACCATGACAAAAAATATTCTATTGTGTACTTACCTGTGTCCTTGACCTCAGACCAGTGGCGTAGCCAGGATTTGGCGCAGGGGGGGATTAAAAAAAAATTTGCATCGATAACTTAAAGTTGTGATACACAATAGCTAGAAGCGTCGCACTATAGGCAAAACACGTTTTTTTCCAAAATCGTGTATATTCGCTTAGAAAAGAGATAATGGAATGAAATTTTTTACAATTTTTTAAGTTACAACAACAATAACTTTACCATCAAAATACCGTTCAAAATTTCAATTTTTTTTTAATTTTGGATTTTGGCTCCCATTCCACTAGAAAACACTATAGGGCTATTCGCGATCCGGTGCAAATGGCATTGCAAATTGGTATTGCAAATTATTTGCAATACACAAACAAAATACACGCATTTGCATTTGTCATGGCTTGGCAAATTTGCAATACCGAAAATCCATAGCATAAAATAGAACCAAAGCTGATGCACAAAAACTGTTTTGCAAAAGCTTTACCATGAAAGTTTAATAAAGGTCGCTCACAAACCATGGCATATTTCTGCAATTTCATAAATTTGTCAGCTCTTATGCACCGAATCGCGAATAGCCCTTATATTTAATACACCATTAGTACTGTTTCTGAAAGACTTCTCTTTATTTTATCTTAAGACTCGATTCTTGGGACATTGGATGCTGTACGCGAGTGGCCAGATTGGAAAAAGAAAAACTACCTTTAAACTCTAATAACTCGTAAACTATCAGCTTTCACAAAAAAATGTATGTAAAAAAAATGGTTATACTGGTCGATATCTTTACGAAAGTGCAGCATTTAACCCTTTAATGCAGAGTCTGTCATATATGAAACGCTTTTTAACCCTTTCAAGGCAGAGGCAAAATGGTTCTCAATATGTTTTCAACGTACTTTTTATTTATTTTTATTTTTGATTTATTTTTAATATTTTATTTTTATTTTATTTATTTTTTTTTATTATTATTTTACTATGAAAAAAAATTCTACGATTAATATCTACATCAACATGAGAAAAAGCACGTGCAAAAGCATATTGGTAACCTTTTTCCTCTGCCTTGAAAGGGTTAAAAAGCGTTTCATATATGACATACCCTGCATTAAAGGGTTAAATGCTGTATTCCATTGTCTCTTTTCTAAGCGAAGATACACGATTTTGAAAAAAAACTCGTGTTTTGCCTATAGTGCGTCGCCTGTGGTCATTCTTTCATATATGTATGTATGTGCCATTTTTACCGTTACATATTTTTTGTCTACTCGGTTGTTCCCTGGGAAATTTATTTAAATTAAAAAAATTAAATTACTACACCATTTTAATTAATAAGTGTGTAGTCCAGTTTTGTTTTGTAGAAGTTTCGTTAGTATACACTTCAGTTTTTACACGTTGAATATATCTGCATATTTATATATTTACGCGTATCTGTTTACATTTATTTACGTACAAGTCTTAACACACATTTTTTCAATTACTTCTTGTATTGTAATCGGCATATCATTATGTACCGCTAACATCGTTATACCATTCAGCCGCTCCTTAATTGTATAAAAAGAAGGTACAAATAAGATAGCATATTCAACAATTGAGTTGTCCACTTGCAAAGTGCGCTATGTAATTTTTTTTTAGATTTTTAGTTTTTGGTGGGTTTCATGTCCACTAACAGCAGAGTGAAAAATTTGTCTATATTGTGAAAAAAATAGCATGAAATGTAAACTACTCTTGCAAAAGTCGCTATAATACTTATTTATACACTTTCAAATGTCTCCTCTTCGTATGAACTTAGAAAACTGCAAGAAAACGTGGTAGTTTTTGGTGCCTAGTGGAAGAGGTCGCAAAGAAGAAGCAAACCAATCTTCTTAGAGCAGAGAACGCGAAAAGCTAAAAAAAGCTAGCTATGTAAAACTTACTGTTTCAAAACATGCAATATTAAATTTTTAAATATAAAATTTGCAAATCTACAATACTGCAATTTTATTTTTTTAATGGTATTAGGCTCTTTTTTATCCAAGTTTTCAGGTAATAAAAAAGATACAGTTCGGATGTTACTTGTTGTCGTGGACGCTAAAATTCTCCATGCCAAACTAGTCATGCTTGTTCTACAGTAATTTTTTTCTGTAAAGTTCTATAAGAATGGGTTTTTTTTAATTAATTCGACTAAAAAATTGAGGAAGATGCTTCCTCCTGTGAAACGGCCATGCTTATTGCAAAAAATACCTGCAATACTAATCTCACCTCGTTCAGCAAACCGTGCACCGTGCCTAAAAAGGATCCACTCCGCCTTTATATTATCACTTGTGTAAGTATGAATGATAAATACATTTAAATATATGTACAAATACATTGCTATTTCGTGTCGTCGACTTGATTTCGCAACCAAATTAAAATACGTCCCACCCTAATAAAAGTAAAGTTGCACCTTTTCGATCTGTCTTTCTCCTAGTTTGCTAGCCATATACATATATGATTTATTTCGGAACGAATTTCCTTCATCCCTTTCAAGTTTGATTTTTACATATATGTATATACTAACGCTTACTTAAATACATACGTACACGTACATATATACCCAATCCCCAACTCTTTCCCTATTGCGCTGTACAAACAAAGGCGGTACAGTGTAACAAGAAAAGTAAAATAGCACAGTGGGATAAAATAAATAAACAAGCACGCATTAACATAAATAATTAATTTCGACATTTTTTACCGTACTCCATCCTTTCTATCTCACAATAATTATATATTCTTATAATGGAAAATCGCCCACAAACTCTATCCTTAAGTGCACTCTATAAAGATTTTATGTTTGAATGCCACATATTGGATTTATTTTGCCAAAGATGGTCTTCACGCTCAACAGCGAAACTCTCAGCGTCGCTGTTAAAGGTAAAATTGGACCTTTTGGATACAAATTGGGAAAGTATCATGGACTTCTTTAGACTTCTCCCGAGCCCGCACTTTACTGAATCTAGTTACTCCGCAAATCAAATGTATGAAACATGCTTCACGAAATATAAGATTTGCTCGAAGCTCTACCCCAAAATACAATAAAGGCATAGAATCCTCTGATGCTCTAAAATAAAATTACTCCCACCCTATATCTACCCCAAAATTTATCATTTATTTTTTATTTCCGGCCCGGAAGGGACTACCGCCAATAAAAACTCGGAATAGTCAGTTACTTGACGGAAGCATAAATTCAACTCTCAACTCCGCAGACGTTGAAGCCATTGCCAGCACTACTCTCTTACCCCAAATCATGGTTATGTAATAAAGACTACTCTATCAGCAGCAACCAAATTCTACGCCTGTCACCTATCTCGAGGACGGTACAAGACGAAGCGTTGTTGAATCCGGCGAGATTTCTCGGTTGTCACCTCATTCAACTGAATCAATCTCCTCTTCAGCAGTGCCAGTTCGCAGCCCGTTAAGGACTCTCATGAATTTACTTGTGCTTCAACCCCGAAGCCTTGCGATTCCCCGCAGTAATCACAGCGTCAACTTCGATGCAGCCCGACTCAGATGACCGCTTTGATTCCGTACATCGGTGGTCATTATCATCACAAGCCACATTCGCAGGAAAAGTCATCGTCAACCGGCTAATTGAGGACCAGTCTCACTTTCGCACATCCCAAAGTTGAGGTCACATGCTCCACTCTAAAGGCACGCCAACAGCAGAATGTTAATAGGAATATCTCAGTAACTAAAAATTTAGTGAATCACAAGCTATTTACCCTTCACTTAACGCAATAGCTCTCTCAAACGCACATTTAGTTCAATTTACTTCACTTATGTTTCCCAACTAATTAATTTTACGACTCTCTTTCACAGGCTAACTAAGATGTTTCGCAATTCCAGTCGTGTGTCTCCCCTCCTCTTTTACCAGGGATCTCGGGTCAGGCCTCCTGATGACCAAACAAGACAGCCTAACTACTACCTTGCCACGGCCCACACAACCAGAGCATGCAATTTGTTCGGTGCATCAGCGACTTATTTAGCTAAGCGTACCTGTAACTGGAAAATCCACAACAACTGCTGCATGTTTTTCCGGCACTGGCGGGCCGACATGTTGAGAACATGGGTTCAAATTTAATAAATTTCTAAACGATATTTTTTATTGTTGGAAAACTAAAACTTTCATAAATTCAATTTTAAAGTGTAATATCTAACTTAATAATAATAATAATAAATTGGCGCTTACACATATATTAGTGTTTGGCCGAGTTTCTCCGATTTGTGGCGTGCGCCTTGATGTTGTCACACAAAGCCGAGGGTCCTACAGTGTTACGCCGACCCCGAACGATGATTGTATTTTTATGAAAAGCTGCTTTTCATGACAGAAATACACTCGGAGGTTTGCCATTACCTCTAACTTAATACTACTTAATATTGCAACTTTGTACGTAATATCGTACGTTAACCCGAAATAACCCACGATTACCATATGGTAATGCAAAATATGCCGTTACTTTAACACGAATAAATCCAAAACGACATAACAAAACTACAAGAGAAAAACGTTATCTAATGCAAAATATTTGTTGCTTACCAAAAAATAAAGTTTCTGTTATTCTGAGTTCAATTAGCGAAGCTAACGCATGTCAAATTGAGGTGACAAAAAAAAAGTTAATAATTCCCGTTTTCCGATATGGCACGTCGGTAAGTATATGCATATAGCAATACGTTTTCAAGAAATTTTATTAATAATTACACTAGTCGGCAGCTAAGGAAATAAACTATGAAATGCGAATTTATTTTTGTACAAAAAAAGTGTTTTTGTATAATTTTTTTACATTTTACTCAAGTCGTTGCCATATGGTAATCGTGGGTCGCCTAGGGTACATGTTTTTTCGCATTTCATGTGATTTTCTGAGCTGGTTTGTAAATTTATCTAATATATTCATTTATATAGTTTCTTGGTATTTTATAAATTTTACTGTTTCAGTGGTTTATCGTTGCAACAAATGCTTGATTACATTCAAGAGCTCGATGAAGCAGAAGACCAAAATCAACTAACAGATATACCAACTGCCATTTACATCGAACCTCCTGTAGATGGAAACATATCGGGCGAAGATGACGCTGAAGACGAATGTGGGGGCATCCCAGATAATGTTTGCCCGGCTCAGCTAAAAGGCGGCTGTGAAGTTGTAATGACTAGTGGACGACATTTACAAAATTTTGATGAAGAAGATGAAATTGGAGGCATGTTTGAAAACAATATTAGTTTACCAATCATTTTAATTTTTTAAGTCCTGAATTCTTCAGCTCCAAATATAAAAGATTTGCCCGTTATTGTGGTAGAAGACACATATCAAGGAATGGAGGAGCAACCGACAACATCCAATCGTGCAACATCACCAGACAGAAAGCGGTTACGTAAAGTGCGGCCAAAACCTTCAAATGTTGCATTGCCACCAGGGAATAAGGAAGCAACATTTGAATGGGTAAAGAATGATTCGCCATCTCTTATTCCCATTTTTCCAGTTGCAAATTACGAAGATTGTCGTAATTTACTACCACACCAACAATTTGAAAAATTTTTTGATGACACATTATTGGGACACATTTGCGAACAAAGTGCAGTATATGCGATCGAACAGAATAGACCAAACCCTAATATAACAGTCAGTGAGCTTCGAGCGTTTATCGGCATATTGATCATTACTGGCTACAATTATCACGCCAGTTACAGAAATTTGTGGAGTCAGGATGAAGACATTCGCAACAACCTTGTAAGTGACACCATGCGTCGGAATCGATTTCAAGATATTTTGCAAAGTCTTCACTTCGAAGACAATTCCAAGGCTTCTTCTAAAACCGGTGTAAATGCCGACAAAATGTGGAAATTGAGGCCCCTTACTGATCACTTGAAAGCAAAAATGATTGAACATTTTCATGCCGAACAAAATCTTTCTTTCGATGAAAGTATGATATCTTATTTTGGTAGACATGGATGTAAGTAATTCATAAAAGGGAAGCCGTTACGATTTGGCTACAAAGTGTGGTCTCTTTGCACTCCATCAGGCTACTTGGTGAACTTCGAAATTTACCAGGGAAAGAATCCTCGTTCGAATGTTGAGTATGAAGCCAAGTTTGGAAAATGCGCCGCCCCTTTGATCAATATGATCGATGATTTTCCTGATAGATTGAAATCGCTGCCACTTTCGTTTTACTTTGATAATCTGTTTACCAGTTATCCTTTGTTAGCGTATCTCAAATCATGCGGATATAATGCTACGGGAACAATCCGCGAAAATCGTATTCCAGCAAGCTGTCCACAGGTGCATAAAAAAAACTTCAAGTCAATGGAAAGAGGCTACTCGGAATCAATTGCGATGAGAAGCACTGGAATTCGATTGGTGAAATGGAAAGATAATAATGTTGTCTGCATGTTATCTACCAGCTTTGGTGAAAATCCGAAATCAATGGCACAGCGTTATTCGAAGGCAAGTGGAGCCAAAATAAATGTACCCCGCCCTTGTGCGATCACGGAATACAACAAATATATGTGCGGAGTAGACTGATTCGACCAAAATTTGGCCCAATACCGTATCGCATACAGAGGAAAAAAGTGGTGGTCTAGCATTTTTACCTGGCTGATAGATGCTTGTGTTCAAAATGCTTGGCAGCTTCATCGGAAAGCGCAGCCGTCACTGACTCAACTAGAATTTCGACGACAACTGGCAGTATACTACTGTAAACATTACGGTACAAAAGCCAAATCAAGTGGTCCGATGCCCTCCCACAGATATGCACAACAACCAGGTCGAGTTGAATACACTCTACGTTATGATCAGACTGGGCATTTTGTAGGTCCATCCAATCGTAGGCATTGTGCCGGTGAACGATGCAAAGTTAACGTACGGACAGCATGTATAAAATGCAACGTAGGACTTTGTTTAAAGTGTTTTGCCAATTACCATACCAAACCGTGATTTATTTCAGTTCTTTTTGTATTATCATAAATATATGTATATTTTTCTTACTTAATAAACATGTTTTAAAACAGCCAATTCTTGTGAATTAAAAAAAACATGTCAAAAAATCATTTTATCTTGAAGAAAAAACTTGTACCCTAGGCGACCCAGGGTTACCATATGGTAACGCTAGTTTTTCGCATTTTCCGGAAAAGTGGAACAATGTACCGAAAAATGGACTTCATATTCGTGCTCAGGAGGTCGAAATACATAAGTCTACATCTTTTCAGCAAAATATAAGACAAAAAAAGTTCTGGGAAATACCGGGTTAAGGTGACGAGTCGTTTTGGTTTTCGTACATGTAAGCGACGGTGCGGGGCGACCCGACCGCGCCAGCCTAAAGTCAGTATACTCGCGACCGCCACCATAATCATTTGCTTAACTGCAAATTCAGTCACTAAGGCAATTACCTACATTGAATTTCCCTTTACATATTTACAACGTTGTATACCCATATTGAAACGAGAATAAATCGGAACTTATCAGTATTATACATAAGAACATATATTAAAGCAACAAATCTTTGATTTATTTGATTGTTCGGTGCACCCTGCACCACATCCAAATCGGTAGGAGCTTAAACATAGTTTTTGCATTTTTCGAAAACATCGTTGTATTAGAAGGGAGCGCGGTTACAGTCCGATTTCGCCCATTTTCAGTATAAATCTTGGATAAAGAGCAATCTATATACCAAATAGTTATCGTATACACGGACAGACGGACAGACAGACAGACATTACTTAATCGACTTCTCTTTTCATTCTGATAATTTATGTATACATTTGTCTATATCTATCTCAATTCGTTTTGGCTGTTACAAACAACCGTTATGTGAACAAAGTTATAATACCCTGTGCACAAGTGCGCTCGGGTATAAAGAATAAGTTACAGGTTACTTAACTATACATATGTACATTTGAGCACAGAACAACTCATACGACACAGCGAAGGTTAAACAAATTGACGTTCAAAAATTAATTAGGAAAAAAATTTAAGTTATATATGTACATATGTACAAATATACATATCGCTCATTTACTTCAATAGTGTCATAATCCAAAAAATATAAATTTTGGGTTGAGTATGCAGAATTACCGCTACGTCGTCTTCTATGTTGTGTAAAAATTTCATAGCTATATCGATTACCCCTTTCTCACCAGAACAAAATATGTGTTAATTTTTACTTTGGGAATATATCGACACCTGAGAAAACTCATAAAACTTTTCAAGAACGCCCTATTTCAGAATTTGATTGAAAAACGTCCTTTCTTAGAATTTGGTTGAAGAACGCCCTATCTCAGCTGCCGATTCAAAAAAGTCCTATCTCGGCACATTTTCTATGTATTTTCAACTAGGCAATAGGGCTTTCTTCAACCAAATTCTGAGATAGAGTGTTTTTCAATAAAATTCTGAAATAGGGCGTTCTTCAATCAAATTCTGGAGTAGGGCGTTCTTGACATTTTTTTTTGTGATAGGGCGTTTTCGAACTGGCTGCCGAGATAGGTCGGTCTTTCACTCAGGTGACGATATGTAAATTCAAAACTTTAAAGCCGTTTTTCTTGATATTTGCTTTTTTTGAGTTGTGACACTGTTGAGGTAAATGAGCTATATGTATAGGTAAATTTTGATTCAACGAAAATACTTACGTAAAGATGGTGTTGTTCAAGTTTCTTTTATTTAGTCCACTTCATATGGAGGCAGGGATAGTGTTCCATATACGAATAGCATTGACAAATAATAGCCTGCTGAGGCTGTATAATTATAAGAGGGTACTATCAAGTATATTATTCGGGCTGACTTATGGAAGAGATTATACCGTGCAACAAACGCGACCTTCACCCACAGATATGAACATATTGTGCTATTCCAAATACACAGCCCAGTATTGTACTGAAAATTCTGGGAGAAATAAATGTATTTATTTCTAAGAACTGCTAATATTTTCCCTTTTATATCGTTCTTTTTGTGGTGTAATATGTCTTATCAATTCCTCAAAATCCCAACTGTTTGCATTTTATTTCTAGTTCACCACTCGGGTTCAGCGAACTCTTTAACGAATTTCGATTACATGAAAACCTTAATTCATTGGACGAGATTCTTAATGCCATAATTGACGCCGATGGAATGTCATTTAACGACCTTAAACCAATTTACAAGGAATTTCTTCTCAAGTTAGCGGTCACTCTTACTAAAGACGAGCTCTTCCACAGATCAAAGAATATTATGCGTCGACAAAGGAAAAAAAAGTTGAGGCGACAAAATAGTTCTTCGATTCCGCAGGTGATTAGATAGTGCTTTCAAAGAAATTGAAATTATATTTAGTAATAAGTGCGCATAATGGTAATCATATAATTACAGAAATTACGTATGTACATTGTCTTTGTTCTACATTTTAGAAAAAGTCGAAAACTGCAGTTTTCGGTACAAAAAACCTTAAAAAGGTTTTTCATTTGGGACAGTTTACATCTTGCCGTGGGAAGCCAATTAAACTTCACATAGATAAAAAAGTCGGATACAAAAATCGTTACATTAGTGAGACCACCACAAATCAGCCATCCGTTACCCAGCACCCAAACGAACAGCAGCAGACACGGGTAGCAACTAGTGGATCGGACGTGTCGGTGGTACGCAACGACAACACCCTCCGTGGCTTAAATAGAAACAGCAGCAGCGGGTACGTAGCAGGTACTACAAGTTACTTGTCAGATTACAATAATTGCAATTGCAGCTACGTCTCTTGTTCCGAGTGCAGCTATGACTCAGAATCATGTACGTGTACTTCAGCTGACAGATGTTACTGCAGTCTTAGAACAGATCACATCAACAACAGGCTCTGTCGGAAAAAAGATTCCAACGCGACTCTTTCAAAGCATTTAACTAACGTCGATAGGCATAATACATCTTGCCATTCCGGTATAGACAATAACCGATATTCGTTAATCTCGTGTAATTCAAATGAAAAATGCTATTGTTCTATGGTGGAACAAGGGGGACCGAGTGATTTGCCTGGTGCTGACGCAGCCATCTCACAGTCCGACAGCTCTTGGTGCGACACGGATAGTTGCGTTAGCACCAGCAAATGCTATTGCCCGCGGGAGAATCGAACAACAAGATCTGGGTCTGGAGAAATAAATCCTTCTAAAGCACACCAAGATAGCACTTCTGGCCGAACAGCTGCAGAAAAACTAGCTCTGGACTATGAACTCTTTACGATCAATGGCAATGGCAAATCTGTTCAGCCACACGAAGCTTTAAGTGTTAAAAAGAGCGTAGAGGCAGCTGCTATTTTTGCTGATGTAAAACTTAGCCAAACTACTGATATTAAGAGCATGTGTCCACAACCGTTTTTGAATCCTAAACCAAGCGAGGATACAAAAATATATTCCCATTGCGAAAAAAAACGCGATTCCTTAAGCATTGATCGTCGTCACAACGATCACAGTGCTTGGAACTTATCATCAAGCTCATCGCAAAAATGCCGTAGTGCTGACGATATATTGGGAAAATTGAGAACAAAGAAAGGAAATGCAAATCCAGAATCATTAAAAAGTACTCTTTCTAAAGGAAAGGCTAAGCAGATTGAACTGGAGATGGACGAAAGTGTTCACAATAATTATCCAGCTTTGAATGCCTCTTTGGAAGATACATTAGGGTACTTGCCATAAATTAAAGCTATGCCAAGTATACTACGTAGAAATATGTATACATACATATGTATAGTATATACTATTCCATATGCACATATATTTTTCGATTACGTACATACATAGCATGAGCATGTTAACAGCTTTTTTAGGTGTAATGACACTACGTATTAAAAAAAATAAAACACTGTTACGCCATATAACACACCTAGTTTTTGACTGAAAGATGTATAAGATTGCGTAGTGGTTAACAAAATTCAAATTGACGTTAAAGTAAAAAAAGTACAAGTCCGGACGAAACCCAAATTTATTACCCGGCGCATGTATTATATGTTTTGTTTTTCACACTTCAGTAAACTACATTGTAAGCAGGCCTGAGTGACGCCGACAGCGCAGTACCCTCGGGGTAACGTCGCAAGTTCTTATACACGAAGTTGACGGTGATAATTAAGCGAAAATTAATTATTGATTCATAATTGGAGTATTCACAACGGTGTCGTAAGTGTCGTATTGTTGTACGTCGTAAACTTTAAACAACTAAAAATATATCAAGGGGGTTTCAAAAGTCATATTATGAATTTTCACAGTGCTACAAAAAAAGTTCGTTGTGGTTTCAAGTCCTCTAAACATTTATTTTGGCTTTTAAACTTTACAACTTACAACAATACGATACCGCTGTGAATACCCCAAATGAATCGGTTAAAATTCAATACGCTAAATTAGGGGGAGTGAAATAACACAAACGGCAATAACGCAAATTTGTGTCATTTACCAATTGAATGTGAAATAACACATATTTGCTTTATTTCATTTCTCGTTGAGCAATAAGACCAACTTTTAAACTTAACAATTGAGTAATAAAGCAAAATGGTGCTTATAGGTAGTCACCCAGTTCCATTTGACAAAAAGTAGTACATGAACAAGTTAAAAGGACGGATTTGTAAGTATACAATTTTGAAAGTGCCCAGCGTCGCAGCGGTCCGCGTTCGCGTGCCGCCCCGTGCCACGCTGCGCTGAGTTCGAGGTCGCGCTCGCGTCCCACGCCCTTCTCCCCACCTTTTGCAATTATGTACTGCGGCATTATAACCGTTTAGAAAAAAAAAATTATAAAATAACACTAATTCACTTCTGAAACTACTTTTTAATGTCCAAGTAATGGGAATTATTGAGTATGGTGTTATTGCATGCATCCCACCCATGTGGAAGTTACCAGGTGCCACTGCCCTATTTGAAAACTTGCCTATAAAATGTGACTATAAGGCAGCCGAATGTCAGCAAATAAAGCGACAAGGCCGTTTTATTACTTCATCTGTTTATTGCGACATCATCCCATGCAAACATTTTAAGGTTTTCCAGCAACGGTTTTAACATATTAAGAAGCATGCAGATAAAATTCATACAAAAGCGCTATGTTCAATATGGCGAGCATTATTAAAGACGATGCTGTCCCTATATTTTGTTAGACTTTTCATAAGTAAAAATATTTTGTGAATATTACTTTCTTCATATGAACTATATCACATTTTTTTTAATTCAAGGCCTATCAAACAGGTTTGGTTTGCCTGTATTTTGTTGTTGCTTCTGGTATCGAAAGTGTCAAAAACTGCTCTGATTTTTTTCTTCTACATCAAAGCGTGCCATGTGAAATACAAAAAAGATAAAAATTTAAATTGAAAAAATGAAAATTGTNCAACTTTTAAACTTAACAATTGAGTAATAAAGCAAAATGGTGCTTATAGGTAGTCACCCAGTTCCATTTGACAAAAAGTAGTACATGAACAAGTTAAAAGGACGGATTTGTAAGTATACAATTTTGAAAGTGCCCAGCGTCGCAGCGGTCCGCGTTCGCGTGCCGCCCCGTGCCACGCTGCGCTGAGTTCGAGGTCGCGCTCGCGTCCCACGCCCTTCTCCCCACCTTTTGCAATTATGTACTGCGGCATTATAACCGTTTAGAAAAAAAAAATTATAAAATAACACTAATTCACTTCTGAAACTACTTTTTAATGTCCAAGTAATGGGAATTATTGAGTATGGTGTTATTGCATGCATCCCACCCATGTGGAAGTTACCAGGTGCCACTGCCCTATTTGAAAACTTGCCTATAAAATGTGACTATAAGGCAGCCGAATGTCAGCAAATAAAGCGACAAGGCCGTTTTATTACTTCATCTGTTTATTGCGACATCATCCCATGCAAACATTTTAAGGTTTTCCAGCAACGGTTTTAACATATTAAGAAGCATGCAGATAAAATTCATACAAAAGCGCTATGTTCAATATGGCGAGCATTATTAAAGACGATGCTGTCCCTATATTTTGTTAGACTTTTCATAAGTAAAAATATTTTGTGAATATTACTTTCTTCATATGAACTATATCACATTTTTTTTAATTCAAGGCCTATCAAACAGGTTTGGTTTGCCTGTATTTTGTTGTTGCTTCTGGTATCGAAAGTGTCAAAAACTGCTCTGATTTTTTTCTTCTACATCAAAGCGTGCCATGTGAAATACAAAAAAGATAAAAATTTAAATTGAAAAAATGAAAATTGTTGCAACTCGCTTTTTTAGTAAATTGTTTTGCTTCTCGAAGCATTGATCCACCCTGTGCCAGGCCCAGTAATCAGCGGTTGTGCTGCTGAGTTGGGCGAGCGTTCCAAAAGCTGTTATTCCATCGCTGGTTTTGTATGGAAAAAGGTTTGACATGCAAATAGATTTTAACAATTTCGAATTTTTGTGAGAAGAAATTAAAAATAGACATTTCCGAGAACAAATAATTTGAAAAAAAAATCAAATCAGTTGCTATGCTGATACAACCTGTTCAATGTGCCTTGGTTTAATTGTATTTTTGGAATAATCAATGTTCTTTTTTCCTCTGCCAGTAAACTGTGTTTTTACAAATAGTATAAACTAGCAGAGCACCCGACGTCGTTCGGGGTAAACAAATCAAAATAAAAAACAGTAATATAAATATTCAGTTCAGTATAATTTAAAGGAGACAAACTATTTTCTTTGTTTACATTAAGGCATCCTTATGAGCCATACTTTTAGCTTTATCGTGCTTTAACTAATATATATTGATAATCACTTGTACTACAAATCTTGTTCCATTATTAATATTAGGTGGATTAAGGTAACGATCAAATTTCTAAATTAAAATTATTCTACTACGGCACATTCTGTTTAGCTGCCTATTCGATTAGCTGTTTTAGTATAGCTGCACTTTCTGGTAGAATGCTTAATTCGGAAGTTTTATTCATTATGAATGAACCTTTTTCGTTTAACAGCATCGCGGGATTAAAAAACGATTTAATCAAAGTCACAAACTTTAGGTCATCACTGCTGTGATTTCTACCGCGCCTCAAAGCTTGCCGCTCAAAAAATATGCCGCTTCAATTCAATTTTTTAAATTTTTGTGTATTTTTCTAGCACTCAAAATCGAATTTTTTTGTGACACATTTCTCGGCGCACTTGAAATCACAACAGTTATGAGCTAAGTTTTGGGACTCTGTTGGAATAGAGGGGCTGGTATAAATTTTGAGCATCGTTTTGCAGTTCGCTGGTATATCGTTTTGCGGTCTGCAGGGGAGTCGTTTTTGCGGTCTGCAGGGGAGTCGTTTTTGCGACCCGCCCGAACTTATGCGCCGCTAGCAGCCGGTTAGTTTGCGTTTGTACTTCATGCTGTAAGCATCGCATGCGCGAGCTGTTTTGCTGAATACACACGTACAGATACAAAAATATTGCGCTTCCCTGTGGGGAAAATCTCTAATTCTGAGCTGGTGCGCCTGTAGTACGTTTAGACCCTGCACTGGTTCGAGATAAATCTCTTTTGCATACAAACAACTGGCGAATTTAACATGGCGATGTCCTAGGAAGTGTCAATTGCCCCCGCTGCATCCCTTTTTCGATAGTTCCGAACTAGTTCTAAATTCTATAGTTCCGAACCAGTTTTAAAATCGCCAGACGAAAGAAAAAAGTATCATGATTTTTCCATCTTTTCTGTTCTTCCGTGGGCGATTTTACATTATTTTCAAAGAAACTTTTTTTCTATTTCAAATAAAATTTGTTTGAATGATTGATTGTAAGAAATGTACGTTTACATACCTTTGGCTGTAGCTGACTTTGCAGAGGTGCTCGCTGTTATTGGTTAGATTCCAGACGGTTCCAAGATGTTAATATGTGAACACAAAGTTTTGTTTTGTATTACCAAACTATGAAATAGCATCTGCGAAGTGCAGAATAAAAGTGCATTTGATCGAAAAAGCCGCCAAACACATATCTATGTAAATTAAACAAGCCCCCGCTGCATTACTTTTCGATAGTTTCGAACTAGTTCTAAATTCGACAGATAAGATCTAGTTCGTTCTGCGTCCGTTTTTCTATAATTCCGAACCAGTTCTAAATTCGTCACTTTAGATATAGATTTCTTATGAAAAAAGAGAAATAAAATAGTGTTTTTAAGAGTCCCACATTTCGCTGATTTTGAACTGGTGGGGATCTACTTACTATCGGACTGGTTCGTTTTTGGCGATAAAGATCTAGTACGGAACTAGAAATTTTATTCACCAGTCCGCGGTTTCCCTGCAGGGTTGTATTGGGAGCTCTGCCAACGCTGTGCACCACTGGCTTACAACATACATGTTTACATATGGATGTTTGCGGGTACATAAGTATGTACGAATTAGGGATGTTAATTTTTCGGCTTTTTCCGATCCCGGGATTTACGGGATGGCGTTGTCACAATCCCGTGATTTAGATATTCATTACTCTTCAACAATTTGAATTGAAAAAATTGCTTCTATATTGTTTGAGAAGCTCCCTACCATGAAATAAATAATAAATAAATGGGTTTGAAACCATGGTACAATAATTACAGGTATGGTCTTCCCAGAGAGCGCATATTCCGATCTGACTTATTTAAAAGTATCACTGTTGCCCAAAATATCGCTTTTTTGAAATCCCATATGCTATATATGTTCACGTATTTTTTTAACAAACCATCTTACAGAGAACTTATTCAATTTGCAAAAGCTGAAAAAAAACATTTGTTGTAAGAAAATGCAAAACTTGTATGGCTCATTTAATTTTAAACGTTTTTTCTTTTGTTTTGAAAACTTGAATTGAGCGAAAACAAAAAGCAAAGCCAAATAAAAGTAAAATAATCAACATTGAACTGCGTCAAAATTAAAATAAGGGAGCACGAATTTC